ACCGCTTGGTGTGCCTTGTCTTCCAGGGTCTGGACCTTGCCACGGCTGCGGATGATGGTGATGTTGTTGACATCCTCAGCCTGCTTGTCGTCACCATCAATGGCAATACCGGCGGAGTCGTAGCCGCGGTACTCCAGGCGCTTCAGGCCCTTGATGAGCGTGTCCACGATGAACTTGCGGTCGCGCTCAACATTGTGGTTGAGGTAAGCGAAGATGCCACACATGGCTGTGTTGGGGGAATTGGTCGAGCGTGTTCAGCAACAAAACTGGGATGAAGCTTCTTGTTTGCTTGGTTTGCTTGCTTTGGTTTGCTTTGGGGGTTTGGTGGGATCGCAAGAGCCAAACGTCCAGGATGCGCACGGGAGAGTGCGCAGGTGTCAAGCCGCGACAGGGAAAATAGAACCACGATGGATGGGAACGAGAGAGCGGAAAGCGTCCGTAAGTGTGTGAACGAGGTGAATCGTGTGTGCGTGTGTTTGTATGTGCGTGTGAGAGAAGGGAGGGTGGTTCGTGCAAGGCAACCAGCGAGAAAGGAGCAAGTGCGGGGAAGTAGAAGTTGTACGAGGGAAATGGGTGATGTGAACGGCCTCCCGGGGCTCAGTCACGACAAGGAGAGAGAGAGAGAAACCGAACAAGTAAGGATTTGTGTTGCGCGGTGTGTTGCGCGGTGCTGTGTGTTGCGCGGTGCTGTGTGTTGCTGCTGGTGGTGGTGGTGGTGCTGACGATGAATAAACGCCCCTTTGATCCCAGATCGAGCCGACTCGCCGAAACACAAACGCCCAAAACACAAACACCCGCGAATCCCGCACAGGACAGCAAGCACCATCAAACAGCCTTCTGTCTTACTGGGTGAACAGTGTGGCTCGACATGCCTTTCCAATGAATGAATGGAATGACATGTCACACATAACCACCACACGCAACGAACCAACGTGCCTGCCACACGAGCCACACACAACATACACACGCCACACTGCTGCAAGCCGCCCACAACAGCATACAGCACACGCACAGTTCTCACCTTCTTTGGTTTTTGTGTCTGTCGTGGCATTCCAAACAATGCAACTGTCAAGCCAAGACCAAGTTTTTCTTGTGGGCGTTAACGCGGAGCAGAACAATAAAGCAAGATGTTAGGGAATAATCGGCATTCCGGCTTTCTGCACCCGCAGTTATGATGTCGATTACGATTTACTACGAC